GGTTAGTTGACACATTTTCATGATGCCCTGGGGGTGTTCTGAAGCCATGTGTGGGTGTGTGCAGGGGTGAGAGCCAGTCACTGTGGGAAGGTTAGGGCCCACGGGGACTGAGTGACTGCTCCTTTTCACCCAGTGAGGCTCCTCCAGGGCAGAAGGAAGTGAACAAACATTTCTTAAGAGCCTCTCCCAGGCCCATCACAGGGGCACTTGCAGCCCCAGATCCCTCACCAGGGGTCCTTTGGACAGAACAACCTAGGCCAAGGCTCCAGTTCAGGTGTTGCCTCCACTGACACTTCCCTGATTTTCACTGGAGGGAAACTGTGAGCCCCTCAGGGGGCAGAAACTGGGCCTTCTAGGGGCACAGACCAGAAGCTGATAAAGCTTACACCCTCCCTTGTGAAGGCCCTTCCAAGGCCCTGCACCTCATTTTGTATTTGTAATTGTGTGTGTGTGTGCTTTGCTTTCCTTAAGGACAGTCTACCAAGTTGTATATACAAAATTGTATATTCCACAAAACCTGGTTTTATTCCCCTCAGTCTTGGGTCCTAGCAATTAGCACAAGGCCTTGCTGCAGCAGCAGCAGCAGGCAGTCAAGAGCTATACAGGAAAGGAGGGAGGGAGGAAGGAGGGAGGAAGCCCACAGTACCCATTCCCAGAGTACATGCCAGAGCCCCTGTCCCCCAGCAGGGTGGTACAGTGCTGTGGAAAGAGCACAATCTCTGGAAACATGCACATGTTTTAGATCTTGGCCCTGCCACTCCCTAGCCATGTGACCTTGGGGACTTGAATCTCTGAGCCTCTGTTTCCTCATCTATTAAATGGATGGAATGACAGAGGCCTGTGGATGTCTTTCAGGTGATCCGTTTCCATTACCCTTTGCCCCAGAGCCAGAACTTCTTTTTTTCCCTGAATATTGCGCCACCCCCATGGAAATTCATTAACCAACCCTTCTCATAAGAGTTCCCACCCTCCTAAGACTATAATCTTATGCCAACAGTAGGAAACATTTATTGAAGGAAAACCATGAGCTTCACTTGCGTCACCTTATTTAATCCCACACCCTTTGAGGCAGTTCCCTTACTGTCTCCATTTGAAAGATGGAGAAAGTAAGGAAAGTTAGTAACTGGCCCAGGTCACACGTCTAGTTGGTGTTGGAATGAACCTCTAAGAACAGGAGGTGTGGCAGCAGTAGGGCTCTGCCTGAAGGGAGTCTTCCCAGGAAGGGGCGAGTATCTGTGCTGCCTGCTTCTCCTGGGCACTGGAAATCAAACCGTCGCCCCAAACCCTGCCTAGTCAACAGTCAGCCATAGTTGGACATCAGATTACTTTCTTGTGTGCTTCTCTTTGGCTAACATTGAAGTCAACCTCCATCCTCATGAGTGGGGTGGGGGGGATGGGACACTGGGAATATGCTGGGGGAAGGGAGGGAGAAGTTGGCCAGAGAGCCAACAGTGTGCTGGGTGCAACCTAGAGCTGATGACTTTCAAGGGCACCTTGACCAGCCCCTCTTCCCTCCCCTCCTCCTCACCCGCCATCCACAATCTCGTCCAGCACCAGAAAGGCTCCGTCCATGTTCTCCAGCAACCAGCGCTTCTCCACGTTCTTCCTGAAGGCAGACACGGCTCTGGAACCTCCCCATGGCCGGGAGAAGCCAGGTCCCTGCCTAGGTGAGGCGGACCTGCTCTCTCCCAAGATTGCCTTATTTCCCACCGCCAATCCCCCGCACAAGCACAGGGAAGGAGAATGTCAAAGGCAGTGAGGGCAGCACCTGGGCAAGGGATCCCTGCCCAGAGCACGGGTCTTCTTCCTTAAGCTCCCCTTGCCCACCGCCCTCACACTTTGAGCAGGGACCCTGTGCCCACCCTTAAGCATTTCATAGCACTTCAGGTGCTATAGCCTTACTGTAGTTAATTGTGTTGACTGTGAACATTTATCTTTGGGTAATCTGCGTTTGGTTTACCCAGGCCGCGTTCACTGGGGTAGATACCAGATCACTGAATGGGGGTGGAGGGAAAAATCACCCTGAGCTTCAAGTCAGAAGACCTGAGTTTGAATCTCTGCTCTGATATAAATAGCTTGTAACCTCAGGCAAATCACTTAGTTTCTCTAGACCTCATTTTCTGGCCATACCATTGCTTGATCAGGTAAAGGGCAGGGTCCTTGCAGAAGGATGCTCTGGCTCCAGCCTTAGTCTTGTGAGGACTTCAGGAGAAAAGCGGGGAGGAAGGGTCCCGCCACTGTGATGTACCAAGGTCTGGGGGATGGGAGCCTTGGAGGACAGAGGACCTCACTCACCTTAACACATGGTTCAGGGACTCAAACAGGCAGGTAAGAACAGACATGAGCATCAGCTGGGGGTGGGCAGATAATGGGAGGAGGAAAACGAGAGAGCTTGAGGTTAAGAAAGGCTAAAAGGAAACCTCAGAGCCTGACCGTGTGGGCAGCTGTCCCTCTTCAGAGAGGACATGGCTGGAGCCTGACTCTGCAGGTTGACCTGAGAGGGCCCCTCCCCTCCCCATGTTTGGGTTGGAAGCACTGGAGTGCCTGCTGTGGGGCATCCTTCTCCAGTGATGTTTAAGACACAGAGGCCTCTGAGGACTCCATTTCTGGTACCCAAGGAATCTAAGGAACATCATGGATATGCACTGTTCCAGAAAGAACTATTCTGGCTGCTCCCAGTTCCCCAGAGTCTAGAAGGAGGGGTACCAATGGTGAGCCTCCCAGCTTCTACCCCAGAATCCAAGCCTCCTCGTCACTCCAACCTCCTGAATTCACCTCGTTCTCGTAGGATGAGCCCACCACATACAGGAAGAGGTCAATGCTGCTCTTGTAGACGATGGTCATGCCGCCGAAAAATGCAATCTCACCTAGGAGAGCGGGGGGGGGGGGGGGGGGACTCATCAAGCACAAAGGCAGCACAACGGCAGAGAGGCCAGGAGGGAGGTGCCACCAGATCATGCCCATCCCTGGATGCCGTGCTGGGGAACTTGAACTTTGTCCTGTAAGTGACAAAAGAGGCAGTAAAAATGTTAACTAGTGGAGTGGAGTGATGGCGGGGGGGGGGGGGGGGGGGGGCGGAGTCTCAGTTCTGGGCACCTCTGCCTGGCCCCTTCTCCCCGTCTCCAGCTCTGCGCCTCTTGCCCTATTTCCTTCTTCCCCTTCCAGAGAACCCTTGCAAAGGAAATTCCCTGGTGGTCCAGTGGTTAGGACTCTGCACTTTCACTGCCAAGGGTCCGGGTTCAATCCCTGGTCAGGGAATTAAGATCCCACAAGCTGTGAGGCCAAACAAAGAACCCCTGCAAAGACTAGCACGCTTGGAAAGACACACACTAGGGACACTACCATTAGGCTACTCTGTGTGCCTCCCCCCACCCTCTACTCCATTCCCAGCACCTGACTGCCTCATTCTAAGAAGTCAACAAACCTGGTTCAAGGCTGACCTTTTGCCCACCATATGCAATGCCTAAGACCAGCCCCAGGCTAGTGCGGGCCCCTTCCACTGAGAGAAGCCCAGGCATGCCGTAGGCAGGAAGAGGGGAGCGTTGAGAGGGAGGGGAGTGAAGGCTCACCGGAAGAAGAGAGAAGAGAACAGCTGGGAAGGAGAGGAAAAAGCACCTCTGAAGAAAAGGGAATGGCCTGTGGGTGTGTGAGGCCCACGGGGATAGATGTGTCCAGATGAAGATGATGGTGTGTATCTGAAAGTTCTGCACGAGCAAAAGGCGGACACTTACTATCAGTCCGGCTGGTCTTGTTGAAGACATTTTTCTCGAAGGCCATCTGCTCCTTCATGGAGGGGAATGTGTCATCGTAATACTAGGTGAAAGGGAAGGAGAAAAGGTGACAGCTGTTCCACAAAGCTTCCTCCCTGGATGGGTGACAGGGAGTGGTGGGTGCTGGCCAAGCGGGACTCTGCTGCCGTGCCCCATCTTCTCTTGACTGCCCTCTAGGCCTGTCTGCTCACTGTTTCCCCATAAACACAAATTCTGAGCAAACGGAGGAATTTTGAGGCCTTCTTGTGGAGTCCTGTCCTGATTTCTTGAAGGCCTTTGTACATTCCGCAGATGTGCAGTGTGCTAAAGACTGCGGTGGTCACTAGGCCACACTGTTTCTACACTAACCTGAGTCTACAGGAAAGAAGGCAGAGCCAGGGGCCCTTTAACACAATAATATCACAACAGCTACTTTATCATCCACATTATATGGATGTGGAAACTGAGGCATGAAGTCAGGTAACTTCCCTGACATCTCACAGTTGTAAGGGACAGAGCTGGGATTGAACACCAACGATGGTCTGACTTCAGACAGGGTTATGGTGAAGATGAAATATCTAAGGGAAAGTTCCTGGCACACACTGCCTAATTAAGTCAATGCTGTTTTGTTTGGGTTTGATGAGACTCTCTCTCTGACTCAGTTCCTGCATCTGAACATGGATGTGATCTGCTGGGAGGAGGCCCTGGAACTTTTGGTTGCCGAGCCACCTCTGACCAGCTGCAGCAAGAGATGGCCAGCTCAGCTTTCAATTTTCTGAATGTGGATTTTGCCACTTAGTACCCCATCTGCAGGCAAATTCGCAGTCTCCCTGCTGGCCACTGCTGTGGTGAACAAGCCCATTTCAATGTCATGAAGTCAAAAAGTTTCAACCCATACAAACGAAAAATCTATAACGCATTTTGTAGCTAGTTTAGGTGCCATAGCCCTACTATAGTTAACTGTGTTGACGGGAGACATTTATTTTTGGATTATTCTAGTTTGGTTTATTCTGGCCATGTTCACTAGCATAGATACCAGATAGTTGAATAGTTGGTGCAGTGAAAACCACCCTCCTGGGCTTCAGGTCAAAATACCTGAGTTTGGATCTGTGTTCTGATATTACTACCTGTGACCACAGGCAACTCTTTTAGCTTCTCTAGACTGCATTTTCCTCATTTGTGAAATGAAAGAATTGGATTATATAATCTCTAAAATCTTGTCTGGTTCTAAATCCTTAGTGTTTACCAAGCTGTAGAAGAAAAGTGGAGGTTACTTGTTCAGAATTTGGGGACTAGGACTCCGGGGTCCCAAGCCAGTGGAAAAGATGGTGAGAAGACATTTTAGGGAACATTTTAGAAACAGAGGAGACAGCCCCACCCCCTTTCAGGGGCCAGCAGTCTGACAAGGTAGGAGGATGGACAGAATGGCCTTTGGAGGGGTCTCAGCTCAGGTGCTCTGAGTCGCAGAGCTCACAGTGGGGTCCCTCCTGCCAGGAGAGGCAGCTGGGTGGGGACTTCTGTTCTTGGGCCTGTGGCACAGTGTCTTCAGGGGCCCTCCGGTGAGGGTGGGAGGTTACCTTGGCCAGCAGGCGGTGTCCGTCATTATCTAGGATGAAGACAGCCTTGATGGTGTAGAGGGAAGGTTCCTGCAACTGACACGAGGCGGGGTGGGGGGGAGAGTTCCGTTTGCCCCTAACTCAGGGCAGACCTCCTGTCATTGGCTCTACGGGACCTGCTGGTCCCAAGAGTCAATCCTCAGGCTCCAGCGACCCCAACCCCAAAGGTCCACAGCTGGTTCCGGCCCAACCCTGTGCCACATGGGCCACTCGGGTGCCCGCTCCCCTCCCAGGCAGATGGTCCACTGCAGGCCCCGGGTGGGCGCTGTGCCCACTGGGTGCGGAAGGTCCGTCCGGGCCCAAGTTCTGTCATGCACTGACTGCTCCAGAGCCCGAGTCGGAGTGTATCACAGAACCTGGGCCGGGGGGACAGCGGCGCCGAGCCTCCTCTTCCAGCTGCCAGCGGCCGAGGCTGGACCCGCGCTCTCCGCGCGCCCCCAGCCCCCGGCCCGTCGGACTCCAGAAGCACGCACGTCAGCCCGAGGCCCGGGGCGGCCCCGCGGCTCCCTAACCCTCCGGGAGAATCGCAATCCAGCCCCGCCGAGCCGTGCTCCCGCCCGCTCCGACTACTCCAGAACCTCGCCCAAGCGGACGCCAGACCGGCCTCCTCCCGAGTCCGCGCGGAGGAACTTTTCTGCCCGCGCGGGCGCCGCCCCTCCCCGGCCGGTCCGGGCGGCAACAAGTTCCCCAGCGCCCAGCGGGCGACTTGTGAGCTGGCGCCGCTCGCTCGGCCCCTGGTGCCGCCCGCTCCGTACCCGCAGCCCCGCGGGCTCCCGGCCTCGGGCGAGC